CTCCTCCTCCTACCTTACCGCCCTCCCCTCGGTCGTCACCCTCATCTCATGTCAGCTAATCTTCTCTATTCGCCCGCAACCAATAAAAGCGCCCCCTATCCCCCCTTCCTTAGGGTGGAGGGGAGTCGATCAACCACCAACGACGAGCAGGTTCACCACCGCCACCCCCAGGACGGGGAGGCGACGTGGTGGCCAAGGCTGTGCGCTGGCCAGCACCCTGCTGCCTGCGTCGAAGACCATCGTCGTCGAGGGCAGGGCGGGGTGACTGCCCGGAGGATGGGATGTGCCTCTGGTCACTACCAAACAACGTCTTCAGTAAGCACGTCGACTGCCGCGTGATCCTCACAGTCGTGGACGCCATTCCCCACCACCCCCGCACCACCCGTGACGAGTTGAGGAGGGATCGTTCAGAGAGTACGCCCATTTATCCGACAAAACTACGGTAGCTCGACGCCTGCGAGATTCAGGATAGACCGTCCCGCAGCACACGCACGCACGCCTGGCACGGTGTTGCCTACGTATCAGGCGCGCTGTGCCAGCTAGCTGGCGAAGTCTGCTGAACTTCGCAATTTCGAAATGGCACAGAACGTAAGTAATTTCCGGATGCTCTCCCTAAATCTATAGCGTCGGTATGTCGGAAACTATCTAATAAAAATAGAGTCGTAAATTATGCATTTGTTATAATTTGTTCAGTGTGTGTAGGAGAGAGGGGAAAGAGGGGTGCTGGCGCGTTGTCACTGGACAATTCCCAGAACACAAAAAAACTGTTTCTGCTGCCAGACGTTTGAAAGAAAAAAACGAACCACCAACACTTTATCAATGGTGCTGTTAACCCCAAACGACGAAAGGGAGGGAAGGAGAAAGGGGCACTACAGAGCAGACCGCAGAGGCAATGCGTATTTACGGAAAGGGTATAAAAAATCACAACACTGTCCTATCTGCAGTTAAATATATGTAAAGAATCACTACAGTCATTGTTCCTAAATTCGGACTTGCGCCCTAAATTCGGACATTGTGCCGTATTTCACTATTGTCGCCTCCAAATCCATAATGCGTTGACAAAATTTTACGTCTATGGGTTTGATGGAAAGGTAAGACCACCAAGTTTCCATTTCTGCCAAAAATATAAATGTGTGAGTGATATTGCTTCCTCCAGAAATTCCTGAAATTTGTATTTTTAGCCCCCCAAAACAGGAGTTTTTAAAAGTGTCTTGCAAGAATTTGGGGCTCCGAACAGTGTAAGACCGGGTTATTCTGACCACAACATATGTGAAACTTGGTACTTTTATCTACAATATGAAACCAAGTTTTTGATTTTTCGTCGCACGGTTTAGTTTTGGGAAGCGTTTTTGCAATGCACCCTAAATTCGGACAGAGGCTTTTACATGCAAAAGTGACTGTCCTAAATTCGGGCATAGGCTTTTACATGCAAAAGTGACTATTGTCCGAATTTAGGGCACGTTAAAAGCGATCTTTAAGCAGTTTTGACGACTAAACAATACCAGATAAGAAAATTTGGACGGTAGGGGTAAGGTCAAATTTGTTCATGAAGTTTCTAAACCCCCAAAAAAATTTCCTTTTTCACAATTTTTTTAAAGCTGTCCGAATTTAGGACGCATTGGTTCCTAAATACGGACACAATTCAAACAGTCCTCACCCCTACACCGTTAGCGCGAAAAAGATATTTTCGGAGAGTGGTAGGTGCGTCGTGCGTCTCGACGTGAGGATTCTAGAATCCCCAGCGATTTTTCATATTTCAAAAATTCTAGATGTCACAGGCGTTTTTCTCAAAAACCGCGCGAATTTAGAGACAATGACTGTATACTGTCTTGTCTGCCGTTGAGGGGAATTTTCAAAATTAATTACTTTCTTAGTGATGTTTTTGTGGGATTTTTTTTCCTAAAAAGGAAGGCAAGAGGCCGTAGAAAGCAGTGTAGGGACGCGCAGCGCCAGTTTTGCCGTTCATGCCGCCTGGACGTCGCCAGACCAGACTCGGCGCCGGGACGCCTCGGCCGCCGCCACGGCGCCGCCGGGAGGGCAGGCAACACATTCGGCTCCGCCGTCGCGCCGGTGGGGGGCCGAGTGGGGGCTCCCCGTGGGAGAAAGAGGGAGGGAGAGAGGGAGAGAGGGAGAGAGGGAGAGAGAGGGAGAGAGAG